TTATTTTTTTTTTTTTTTGTGACTGTTACCACTTATGTTCTGTAGTCATCGGGCCTATTATATATAGTTAAATAAAGTAATCCAATAGTATGACAACAAAAAAAAACCTACAACAGTGGAAATGTGGCATAGTTAAATCAAGTATAATGATATCTGACAGTGATTAAAATCACTATAAAAAAAAAAACGCTTCATTGCAAATCTTTAGATAGTGTTTAATTTAAAAAAATTGGTGGATTATTCCAAAATTTACATGCTACATGTTCTGCTAGTTCCTTATTAATATCTTGATTAAGGTAAAGTATGTTGAATGAAAAAGGGATTATTGAGAAATATTATTTCTCATAAAAAAATTGTGTTGATTCACACACTTTTCAATAAATTATAGCATTATTAAGTTAAAAATGTAAAAAATAAAATCGATAATTTTCACACAAAAAGCCATTTTCACCATTAAGACAAAATAAAGTCCAAATTTTTTTTTTTCATAAAGTATGTCGAATGAAAAAGGGATTATTAAAAAATATTATTTCTCATAAAAAAATAATGTTGATCCATACACTTTTCAATATGTCATACCATTATAAAATTAAAAATGTAAAAAATAAAGTCGTGAATTTTCATATAATAATAGCATTTGGTAACCATTTTCACCGTGAAGACAAAATAAAGTCCGAAATTTTTTTTTTTTGCATAATAAAGTAAATTACATTAGCTTTAATTTAAGATATATATAAAAGTGTCAGACTTTCCGGAACACTTTCAAAAGTTAAGTTGAAGAAGTTAATTTTTTGTAAAAAAGTTGTCATTTTAATTCCCCTCCTGTGGGCAGGTAAATGGTCAGATTTATAAAAAAATTATACCAAATGATAGGTAAAGACATCAAGCATCTATAAAAAAATGTTTATTGATTTGATAATTTTTGAAAAAATTATGGCAGTTTTAAGAAAAAAAAATTTTAAAAATTTCGAAAATTAGTGATTTTTAAATTTGTAATTTATTTGTAGGTTTCCCTCATTTACGGGGAACGAGTGAAAGTTTTTCAATTTTTGAGCGTAATGTCTTCGACTAGATACGATTTGTGATCTTTTGGCGAATCGTTGAAAGATATCGGTTCGGTGAGAGCTGAGAAAAAGTGGTAATTGTCACAAAAAAAAAGTAAAATTATACCTTCTTAGCTTCCCATCGAAGCTAAAATCTGCCCAGTAAGAACTGAGGAAAAATAGTAAAAGACACAAAAAAAAATAAAACAATAAATATATTATGGTAAAATTAATACCTTCTCAGCTACTCATTGAAGCTAAAATTTGATGAAATAAGTATTTTTAAGGATTCATATTTTTAATTATTCTGAAACTATCTTAGAATATTTTTATAAATTTTAAATTTTTTATTTAACATTAATTACGAAAATGATAGTTGATTTGATGTATGAAAAACAATATCTATTCGACATAATGATTATATATTGTATTTTTTATATCTATATTATAGGCATTTTTTTAATTCCTCATTTTATTTACTTTAGGTCGTATTTGTAATACTGAATCTTATTTTGAAATGTACAATGCTAGTACGAATTATAACAACAAAAATATATAAAATATTATGAAGATAAGGATGATATGAATGATAAGTTTAGAGAATTTAACTTAAAGGAACTAACATATGAAAATGATGAAAGTAATATCAATAGAAAGGAATCCTGTGATTCTTCATCTTTATCTTCACCTTAATCATAACTACTTGGGTTAGCCACCCTTATCTTAAACTTCCACTTAATATGACCTCCAATATCATCTACGCTCACATCAGGCGTCCTCATATCGCATTCAATTACATCTCTCCATCTCTTTTTTGATCTTCATCTACCTCTTCTTCCTTCAACATTTGTATATTTTAGTTTTTTTTTCTCATTGTATAAATGTACCTTTTACGTACTCTGTTTATTATCTTATTTAATTTATTCGTGTATCATATGTACTAGTTGTACGTTATGGGTGCAATAAATACTAATATTATTCAATATAACTTAAAAATATAATATATTAATAAATATTGAACTAAATAAATAAATATTTATTAATAAATATTTTATAGAAAAAGTAAAAAAGACAATTTTCTTAATTTTTGTAAAATGCATAATTTTGAGATTTAGTTTGCAGTTCTTAATATAAACACCTATTATAATTGAATAAAGATATTATTTTTAAGTTCAACATTTTTTTCTTTTCGTCTTAAAAGAAATAATTTTCTCTCGGAATACTTTTTTTATGCAAATATACAAACATATCAAAAACTCAAAATATATAAAATATTGTAGTTGATGTTTGGAATTTAGAGAGAGCGGGCAGCGAATAATTGACCATAATAGTTTTAATGTAATCAATATGTTTATTGTTCCCTTAAAAAAAATATATATATTGTGATAACGACATGGCTATACGAAGCGATATTCTATTGTGAATAGAAGGTATAAATAATGTTATAATATTGATAATGATACATAATATGATTGTTAAGATTTACCG